GCGCACCCTCGCGCGTCTCCCCGGCCGCCGTCACCGTGAGGCCCCGCGCGGCCTCGCGTGTCCCCCCGGCTGCCGTCACCGTGAGGCCCCACACGCCGCGTGGCGGCTCTCACCGCCTCTTCTGAGTGTCGGGGTACAAATGCCTCTAGTTTTAGGTTTTTCTAAATTATTTCTTACTCTTATTTTTCTACTGTATTTCTGACTTGGACTTTTTTATCTTATACATCTTTTAAGCGGTGCTGGCCCATGATTGCACAGGTTTGTGTGACTGAGGTAAGCTGGTACAAGCTGCACCCTACTCCCAGCCCAGTCCTCCTCTGCCATGAAAATCAAGCCTTGGTTACCTTGAAATTTGCTAGCTCTGCTCATCGCTCTCTTCTTTCACCCTGGTTCTCTGTCACTAATAGAGAACACTCAATATTCCCAACTTCTCTCTTTCCTTTGAGGCTTCGTGGCCAAGGCCTCTGCAGCGGTGCCTCCTTGGCCTCTGTCTATCTTCAGTCTCTCTCCTGGCTTCAGCTTCCATGAGCACCTGCAGAGAACCCCCACCCTCACAGAGGGATGGATGAAAGAAGCAGCAATTTTCATTTTGCACTAGTTTTCCTTTGTGTCCTTTCCTGTGTGTGGTTTTCCTTTAAACCTTTAAGGTTATTTGCTTAGCAGGAAGTCCTGTTTCCAAGCAGGTGTGCAGTATTAGCAGCCATGGAAAGGGAGGGCAGTAGGAAGGGAAGGCAGCTGGCACCAAGCACCAAGGCAGAGCTGTAACTACAGGGCAGTTCAGTGAAGAGGGAAGAGAATGGCAGACGGCCAGACCCTGCTGCCTGGGTGCTAAAGCAGAGCCTCCTGCAGGACCCTGCAAAGAACAGACCATAGAGGATACAGAATTGACCGAAGCAGCACCGTAAAGTGTCATCATCCTAAACATGGGAAGAAGGGGGCCCAGGGAGGTTGGCTCTACAGCACTGCCCCGGGGCAGCGCACACAGCAGCAGCGCAGCAAAACCAAGGGTTTGAGGCAGAAAAAATACTGCACTTTAGTAATACACAAGAAGCAAAGCAATACGTTATAGACTGTCACTAAACCTGCAGCCATGCCAACACCTATCATCAGCCATAGCTGTGCGGGAAAGGGGTAATTTTTCAATTCCAATTTATTATGTTTTATAGACGAAATGTCAACTAATCTTTTTGTAATATATTTTTATTAAATACATTGGAATTTAATGTACAAAGTGTAAAAATAATTTGAATTTGAAATATATACAACACTATAAACATTTAGTAGCAGTCTTATTCTTTTTGTCTCTGTATCTTTCTGCAGTCTGTTAACGAGCCCTCGGCTTCCTCTGCGTCCTTCTGAAAAGCCACAGCTCCTTCAACATAGTTTTTTGAAGAGTTATTTGCTTCCCCAGTAGACCTAGAACTATTTTTTCGTGAAAGAACATCAGATAAATCCGTAACTATTGTACTGCTATTTTCATTTACACACTCGCTCTTCTTTTCTTCTGGTAAAGCACTGAGGAGGGCTTGGGTATTAATCATGGCAAGTTCTTCATCTGCAACCAGGTCGTTCTCAGCCAGCTGGACAGTCTCTGCCAGCTTCCCCCTGGCAGTGGCATCACCAATACTCCAGTGCGTCGCTTTGGGTGACCTGCTGTGCTGAAAGCCCAAGCGCCGCGGAGGCTGAAACGCCTTTTTTAGAGCCGGGGAAAGAACCGAGGAGATGGGTGTGAGGGGAGGGGGGGCCGGGATGCGGCTGAGCAGCTCCAGAGCCTTCCTCTTCCTGCTGCTCTTGGGGTGCTCTTCGTTAGCCAGAGCAGATGAGGACACTCCTGCTGAGCCTTGTCCAACAAGCTTTGAATTCTGCACGCTATTTACCAAGGGGCTGTGATAATTTACTTCAAAATTAGGAGAAGATACCTGTTAAAAAAAAAAAAAAAAAGGCTTTATGTCAAATACTTCCTTCATCCTTAAATACCTCCACACACAACAGGAAAAAAAAAATGGCACAAAAATATTAAGCCATCATTCATGCCCAACTTTATTTTGTTATCTTCTGATAGTGACAAACATTTTTTTCAAGCACTGATGCTTGATAAATCATTTTATAAGCATATCAAGACAGAACAGTTTCATTTTCTGAAATTAGAACTATGCTTTTCTTTCTGTGCCTGATTGTAAAAAAATTTAAATAATCATTATAGAACAGTTAATGTTGATTTCTACTGCACTACTCAAAAGGTTAAAATAAAAAGATGGAAAAAAAAAGGGGGGGTGAAAAAGGAGGGCAGAAATAGACTGAAAAACTGAAGGATAACCATATGCACAGGATATCACTACACTGCAAGTCATTCAAACACATGCTTAACTTGGCTATATCTTTAGTCGTATTTATTTAAAATTGATCAACATTTAATAAAATTATATATACCACTAAACCTTTGGAATTAACTGTTACAAATGTCCCTGGAAATAGGAAATGATGCCTTGCTGATTTATAATCCAGTCCCCAGGAGTGAGTGTTTGATCAGGCTGCTCCCACCTCCCTAGCAATCAGCGGCAGAAGAAACAATTTGTTTGGGCTGCTCTGGGGCCTGGGCTTCCAGAACAACTCACCCCCGCAGCCCCCAGGCAACAGGGGGACTACGGAACTCCAGCAACTTACACTGAGGTTGCTGCCAATGTAATCATTTACTAAATAATCTATAAAAGACCTATGCCTTGAAGAAAAAAACAGAATATTTTTTACAAACATAATTTATGGAAAAAATGCATAAGGATTAGTGGATGAAGAGGTGGCTAGGATGCAATAAATCTCTAGCTACAATTTTTGTAGAAAGATTGAGGAGAAAAAGCAACCAGTATAAGCCACTAGCATGATCTGTGCTTGTGTTATTACTGTAAGTAGTGCCTGTATAAAGCCAGTATCAGCTGCAAGAATCTTACCAAACTGGTGGGCCCTGCAGGGAGGCCTGTGTTGCAAGGGGAAGGACATTCCAAGCCGTATCTTTTAGGTAAATTGGGTGTAAATGGACTATTTCTTTGAAGCAAATTCATGAGTATTCTTTCGGCCTCAGAACAAAAGGAATCCATATTCTATGAAAAAGAACAAGTTACAGTGCAGAAGCAGTAGTTTTTAAAATTACAAAAGTATTATATGCTTGCAAACAGGCTTTTTTTTGTGACTAAGCTCTTTCCATCATGAATTTACCAAAAGTTTATTTTATGGGTGAATCAAAAATTTAGATAGAATCTATAAAAAATTTAGAATCTAACAGATTCTATTTTTTAGATAGATTCTAAAATTTAGGTAGATTCTAATCTAAAATTTAGATTAGATTCCTGATACTGTAAACAAGCAGCACCTCCTTCTGTGCTTAAACCTGTTTTTCCGTAAGTGAGAAGGTAGGACTAGATGCACTACTAAAAGCTACAAAACTGAAGAGCCAATTGGTTAATGAACATGTTCAATTGAGCAAGCCAATAAGCTTGAAACAGGCTATGGCCAAAGCGTCCAAGGCAGATTTGCCCATTATGTGTACACTTATACATAAGTGTATGTAACACACGAAGTGTATGTGACAGCTTACTCCATCTGCCACAAAATCCCCCCAAAAGTCAGCGTTGCCTGTTACTGCAGGCCATCAGTACCAGCAGACTCTTTGGTGAAGAATACAGCACAGCAATGACTAAAAGGAATCGTTGAGCTCAAATCCCCCAGGTTACCTCTATCCTGCTCCTCAGCTGGCTGAACTTCTGCTGCAGGTAGTTTTCCTTGGGGCTGGCAGAGAAGACGGAGAGCTCCCCAGCGCAGAGCACGGGCAGGCCGGCGCGCGGGGCCGGCTGCCACTGCAGGTTGCTGGCGCAGACGAGGGAGCCGCGCGCCACCACGTCGCCCCCCGCCGCGTGCCCAAGGTCTGCGCGGAGCTTCACTGCCACCAGGTTGTAGCTCTCGTCAGACAAGTACACCAGAGTAGTGAAACCTAAAAACAAGGGGGAAAAGGAATGAAACCCCAAACCTTTAAATAAAGGTTGATTACTGACTGCAATTTGTAATTACAAGGAGAAATCACACATTTTGCAGGAGTCCTAATTTCTAAATATGACAGTGCAGCCTGTCTGCATGGTAACAGATGCTGGTGCTTCATTCATATTCTGCACCAGCTCTCTACTGACTAGGGAGACCAATTCAAAGCCTGTGCTTTAAACAACAATATTACTATGGCACTTTCCTTTTTTATCCAAAGGATAAAAACTCTCTCTCTGCTTGTGAGCGCCAGAGGCTGTGCTTCCCTGGTGTCATGATACTTCACGCAGAAGAGGAGCTCAAATACAAGCAAGTCAACTTTTGCAATGCCTAAAGCAAAGGCTTCTCTTGAGCTTAGATTTTCCCCACACTAAAGTGATTTCTGAACAAATCTGGAAAGACATTTTTCTTTAAAACCAGAAAGTATCTGCCAGTCATGTCCCGGTGATGGTGGATGAGCAGTTTTTCACAGATCTGCTGAACAATACCAAGATTGTCTCAAAGTCTGAAATAAGTTTTAGTGCTTATTCACAAAGGAAAGACATGAACATGGTCTGCAACATACCTGTTCTGCCCATAGAAACTACAACTCCCACTAAATCAACTTCAGCACATGCTGGCTGAAAAGAAGGATCTGATAAACTTGTGAACGTCAGAGCCTTTCTAGGAGAGAAGATCTGTGACAGCATCTTTTGTGAAACCTGAAAATACACATTTTAAATATTTACCGCATACTGCAATACTTTTTAATCACGACACATGTTAATGAAGTCACTTACTGGTAATTGTAGATACTGAGTTTTCTTTGTTGCTGTTAACTGTATTTTAGCTGGGTTCGACCTTCCTTTGGACTGCGATGCCAACAGCTGGTAGATTCTGTACCGACTTCCTTCCTTTAGGAGGGAACAGACATCTGGCAGGGGACGCCAGATACTCAGCATCACTCCTAAGAATGGCAGTTAAAGATGCATCAGGCCTACAATACTAATGAAGACTTCTTAGAAGCAAAAGAAATCCACAGCAACCCATCCACCTGAAGAACTTAGCGAGATACAGCCATAAAAGTTGACACACAAGCCAGAACACTCTTAGGAAGCTATTTGCAAATCTACACATTATGTTGAGCTGTTACCATGTGAAAATTGAAGTTATTTACACATCTCCAAATACTAACCGTGATGTTTTTCTTGCTTTCTGTAGTCGACTACACATAATCTCCATACAGCAGACACATCCCTTTTGGAACATCCGTGTTCTTCCTGCTCTGCAGACTCTACTGCCTTCTTGAATTCTGCCTGTATCTGAGCTTGCTTTTTATCACTCAGCACCTGCCTATGAGCATTCAAAGCTTTTAACTGCTCTTCACTTAGATACCCCTGTAACAAATGGAAAAAGTGTTCAGTATCTTTTCTTATTAATTTAAAAAGAAAAGTCTTGAGTTCTTCTGTTACAAATAATATTGTTCAACTGATACACAACTGGCACTTGAAATGATTCTGTGTAAACACATCCAGGTCACCAGTCTTAACTGAGGCTACCAAGCCTCAGAGGTATCTGAGAGGTATCACATTATATGCTGTTCTTACATGGTAATCAGAGGCCTGATTAATGAGAATTAAAGTAATGAGAAGCCTGCTTAAGAACTTACAGCTGAGTATTTATATAACAGCCATATTTATGTATTGAAATAAAGTTCTGTAAGGAAAAATTAAAAAAAAAAAAGTCACAGTTATAGGCTTTTAGTGAAGTCAAAGACCCTGATACTGCAATGGATGAGGCACATGTGTAGTTTAACAACTGTAGGGACTCATCATTTCCATCTAGTTAATAAACGTGTAGACGTTTAAAAATTGTGATTCTTTTTTATTTTCTGCAATCCAAAATATTCCTTGGCTATGTTAACAAGCCTTCATTCAAATATTTTTCAATTTTTTAAATTCTCACTTAGCAATAAGCATGCTGCAGGAAATCTTAAAAGGCCGCAAAACATATGGTAATTTAATGGTTCGTTTTTAGCAGCAGGTACTAAGCTGGAAATAATTCCACTAGCATTTCAAAATTAGCCCAATAACATCTACAATTACCTCCATATAGCCAGGATCAGATGCATTCTGAATTGCTTCATAAAGTTCTGCACCATCTTGCAAATTATGGATTTGCTGCCTTGTGACTATGCGTGATCTCAGTGCTCTTCTGCTACTTCTCTCTGTTAAAAGAAAACCAGTATGTCATACACAGTCATTAGGTTTTAAAAATAAAGGAAAAAATATTAGAAGCAGGATAATATTTGCACCTTGTCCAAATAAAAACACAAACTGGTACTCTATAGAAATTAATTTTCCTTAGGACCATACTAGTGAATTCATATCCATTTAAGTGCAATGTAGACTAGAATATCATGAGATTACAGCAAACAGCAGCTGACTGCAGCACTTGTAGAAACAACTGCTGGACATCACTGGCAAGGCTGGGCAGCGTAAGGCTGTTGACCTCAGATGTCCCTTAGGTCAATCTCATGATAGTCTCAAAGGAAAGATACCCAGTGTCAGTATCTTGACACTCATCTCTACTGACCTAGTCCCCTTAAACAATACCCTAGAACAAGCTGACAGCATCAAATCCTCAAAGGGGACAGAGTGATGTATTTTACAGTCCTGTAGCAGCTTCCTGAGCATCACCCCATGCTCATTTTTAGTAGTCCACGTACCAGCAAGCTCTCCGAGGCTCAGAGAGGGCCTCAAAACCAAGCACGTGAGCATGCAGGTTTTTTTTTTTTTTTTTTTTTAATACTGGAAGGCTTTAATACATAGGAAGTAAATATAAAAACACATACACACACTCAAATCCACCCCCTCGCCTTCCCATGACATCCTCTTTCCTCCTGCCAGAGGCTTTTATAGATTCTTTAAATTCTTCTGTAAATGCCAAAGAGGAGAAAAAAAAAAAAGTGTTCTAATTGCATGTTTTGAAGCAATGAAACCTTTACCTTCATGCTTTTCATATTCTTCTTGAATTTTTGCAAACAAAGCTTCCAGTTTCTTTTGTTGCTCCTCTGCGTGCTTGGCAGCTTCCCTTTCTTCAGCTCGACTGTTACGAAACACGTAAGAGCCAGAGGATGTCTTCTCCATCCACTGAAATAAAAATATGCAAACAGAAATCAAATTTTTAAAACTCATTTGGCTTCCTTCTCATACTGAATATAAGCAAACATGCTTTAAGAATTGATCAGGTAGTTGTAATATCAGCATATATATAAAAGGCAAACTCCATCGCCTTGGTGGATAAATCCAGACAAAGTTTTACAGACAGAATGGAGTAGCTGTAACCAAACCTATATGATGGAGCAGCTGAAAAAAAAAAAACATAGCTTATCGTAACAGATATTGATATAATTTAGAATCCTTCTTCTGGATCGTTTTTGTAGCTCTATTTAGATAAAAACCAAACTCAATGATACTGCATTCTACTCGATTTATCTCTGCACTTCAACTGTACAGTCTATGGATTAGATCCTTTAAGTGAACTGCTTTAAGATCCTTTAAGAGAACTAAAGTGCTGCTTTGGCACTGCCCTTAAACTCCTGCTGCTGGAAGTGTTTCCAGAGGATTTCAACCTCATCCACAGCCCTGGCAGAGCCACTTTGCTTGAGGTCCTGAGCATGGTTTGAAGAGATGGGTGAGCCAAAGAGGCCACTGCTGCTGAAGGCGCTGGTCTTTGGCCCCTTCCTTGCTCCTTGGTGTTCAGTCCTGCCTCCTTCCCTGCGCTGCCTCTGCTGCCTCTCACTAGAACACAGTAATTTGCTAATTCAATGAAAAGCAATTTGCTCCTTTGCTGGCTTGGTTTTCTGCTGGTTTAGGGAACTAAATTAGCCAAGTAAGAGAGTCAGGTGAGTTACAGAATCATAAAAATGGCTGAGGCTGGAAGAGACCTCTAGAGATCGTCTAGTCCAACCCCCTGCTCCAGCAGGGACACCCAGAGCACGTGGCACAGGGTGGCATCCAGGTGGGTTTGGAAGATCTCCAGAGAAGGAGACTCCACAACCTCTCTGGGCAGCCTGTGCCAGGGCTCTGTCACCCTCACAGGAAAGAAGTTCTTCCTCACATGGAGATGGAACTTCCTGTGCTTCAATTTATCCCCATTACTCCTTGTCCTGTCACTGGCCACCACCAAGAAGAGTTGGGCCCCATCCTCTTTACGTCCTCCCCCTCAGGAGCTCCAGGTTCAGCATAAAGCAACAGCAAGGCAGTACAGGCAGGAGCGGGATGAAGTCCTGATCCTTCAGAGGCAGCAAACTGTTGATATAGGCCCTGCCTGTCTCATTAAATACATGCTTTACATTTCTTCTATTATGCACAGTATGACACCTCAAATTACAGTTACTGTGGGTCCAAGACCACTTCACTCCTCAGGCTGAAAAGGAGGCAGATCTTCCCAGGTCCTCCTATCATTTTGGTATGTTTGAGCAAGATTTTCCGAGTTTCAAGGGGACCAAAAAGCCTATTTCAGCAAGGTGGTCTCTTGAGGAAATAACACACAAGGCATCACTTTTCTCCACTGCCTTGAAGCCTTCTTTTGTGATAAGTCTACAGACTCTGGTCTCCTTTCAGAGACCTAAATTTTAGCTTAGTTCTATCAGAGAGTCCACATAGTGTGTTCCAATTTCCTCCCTTAAAATAGTGATCTAAATACCAAAACAATGACCTAAACAAATACTAACTTTGTGGAATTCATGTTGCATTGGTTTCTAAAACGTTATTTAAGGAAAGGTCAAATGCCAAGGAAATTAAAAACCCTACATGTAACCCACTGTAACACACTGAGAAAAGTTAGCAAAATATGAATATTATATCGTGATTACAGTGTTAACATTTAAAGGACTAATCATCAATGAAAACGTTGTTTCTCCTTTACAGTTGGGTCTGTTACAAATAGCAAGTGGTTACAATGAAGTTAGATCGCATTAAAAAAATCTTTCTGAATATTTAAAACATCCTCATTTTATTTTACATAAGAATTGCATTGCATTTTCAGTAACATTATAAATAATAGATTCTACATAATATAACCAGATACATGTAGGGAAAGAATACTCTTAGAAATAGTTCTAAAGACTTGAATCATTTGTGAATATTGTACGTTATTAATAGTGCAAATTGGGTTGGGCATTTCTACTTGAGAGTTGAAGCTGTCCGTTTTTTCCTCTCCCTTCAAACAAGCTCCATGCTTGTTAGATTTAGCTTGCTAGACCTGAAATCCAATTATTTCTTGTTCTTTGAAGCTGAAAACAAACCCAGGCAGAGGATACTGAATGCAAACTGGAATTCTTAGATCAGGATACACCACTACTGAAATATTAACTATATGAACTTTTTAGCACTCTATATTGTGTCTCATTTCAGAAGTGATGCAACAATGCATTATTCAGCTAAGTATTTTATAAATCTATTAGATCTAACTTACACCATACCTGAACAGGGTAAGTTCTCTGAATAACAACATCGACACAGCCCACTGCGCCGCCCTCACTGTACAGCGATGCCAGGGGCAGAGGGAAGGGCCTGGGATCCCGGTGAAACCCCAGCTTTGCATTCCAGCGGGCACGTCGAGTACTGTTTGCTGAAATCTGAAAAAGTTCAATATGGAATGAGAAACTGACGCTGGCAGGAATTCTCTTCATATTGAAATCTCCCAAACGTGACAATCTTGAAACCTTTAACCAGATATTAAGATTTTGTTAAATTAAACTTCTCTTAGCAATGAGTATCTGTGAAATATAAGCCATCGATTTATAACACCACAGAAAAATCTGAAACTTTACACAGCACTTTACTGTCCCCGTCCCCAGACAAGTCGAGCCCCAACCTCCCAAGCTCATTGTCTCACAAAATGTTTTTCTCCCACTACTTCTTCAAGCTTCTCCATAACTCATGATGGATACATACGTTTTGTAATTTGGTGTTTCACCAAATTAAGGAAACAGGTAACAGATACCTTAGCAAACTTTTATAGTATAAATTTCTCTTGCAATCCTAATGGATAGTGTCAACTGCCCTGTATCAGGTCTTAGCAACGTGGATATTAAACTCACCAAATTTTTGTCTAACTGTAGAACTCTGGTTTACAGCACTGCTTAATTAAATAGCATCCACTACATCTCTCGATCACATCCAAACTGAACTAATACTTCATTTTACCTTTAACATAAGGGAATCTGGGGCTTCCAGTGGTGCACATCCATCCTGCGAGCCAACGAGCTCTGCTCCATGTACTATGACCTTCTGCCCAACAGTCAGCTGCCTTCTGAGCACGAAGGTTTGGAGGGGCGGATCCAGGAGCGCTCTAATCCCATACCAGCCATCCGTAACTTCAATTATTGCTCCTTCTTTTTTATTTTCCATGCTCTTATTACTACTGCTAAGAGATACAATGGTGCTCAGTGAAATGATTTTGGATACGCACAGCACGAGTGTTTTACCTGCCGTATCATCTTTCTCCATTATTTTTTTGATTGCTGATCGTTTACTTTTATCAACTTCCAAATCATATCTACGAAAAAAAAAGTCCATGACACACTGTTAAAACATGCAAAATCCATCACAACCATTTTCTTTTAAAACAAAAGTAGCAAACTATTGCTAAAATCCATCTTAGGGCTTTAGCATCATTGTACCAAAGTTAAGCTTATAACATTTTTGGCAAATAACATGCAATATTTATTTTATTATAGCTATAACTAGATGTAACTACAGATATAACTAGACTCAACAATACAAGCATTTCAATAAATAAGGTAGATGAGTTTAATTTAAAATACAAAATAGAAAGCACATGGTATTTCAACTCCAGATACCTTGCTAACCATACCTGTATTTTAATTGCAACAACACTGTTTCTGGTGTCAAACATCTGTTAGCAAATTCATGTGGAAAAGACACTTCCATGGCGGCCAGTTTCCAGACAATCCACCTATAGTGATTGTAAACCCATGCCTCTGTTATTAGTTTGGGATCCACGCCAGGAGTATCACAGAGGGCTCTGCAAATGAATTAATAGTAAATTAATCTAAAATCTGTTGTAAGTTTTTGCATGTTTTTCCCTACTATTGCAGTCAGTATATCTCCATAGGCAACAATGTGAACAGTGTGCAAACTGCAAGATTACTTGACATAAGCCAGAAGTCTTTCCTGAAGACATCATGGACACATCTGGACGTGACAGCTTTCGTGTCCATACATACATGTGTTCTTGACACGCAAACTTTTTAATTCTTCCAGAACAGACTGCAAAGTTGTGTTGACTTCAGCAAGGTCTTTGACAGTCTCCCATAGTACCTTCTCACCTAACTGATCTGATACGGGCTGGAGAAATAGATAAAATGGGTGGAAAATCAGCAGCCCTGCTAGGCTTAAAGAGTTGTGATCCACAATAAAAAATCCATCTGATGGCCAGTAACTAGTGGCATCTGTCAGGCATCAATATGGGGACTAATCTGTTTATAATGCCTTCATCAACAACGTGACTTCAGCAACTTCGCAGATGACACCAAACTGCGGGGCTTGGTCAATACACTGAAGGACAAGGCTGCTACAGAAAGGGGTCTGGGCAGGCTGGAGAAATGTGCTAGTAGGAAGCTCAACATTTAGCAGCAGCAAATGCAAAGTGCTGCACCTGGGATGGAATAACCTCATGCAGCAGAAACAGGCTGGGGCTGTCTGGGAAGCAGCTTTGCAGAAAAGGATCTTAGGGCCTGGTGAATAACCAGATGATCATGAGGCAGCCACGTGTCCTTGCAACAAAAGCCAACCACATCCCGGGCTGTCTTGTTAAGAGTGAAGCCAACAGAGGAGGGATCCTTCCCCTTGGGCATTTGTGAGACCATGCCTGGAGCACTCTGTTCAACTTTGGGCTCTTCAACGCAAAAGCGTTGGTATATGGGAGCTAACCCAGCACAGAGCCACTAAAATGGTTTTCTCCTTGCTCCAGTGGGCAAAGTGCATTATATATGAGGAGAGCCTAAGAGACCTGTGTCTCCTAAGCTTTAAGGAGAGAAGGCTGAGAGGAGACTGCATTGCTGTCTACAACCATCTGATTGCAGGATAAAGAGAAAATGCCAGAGCCTTCTCAAAAGAATTTGAACAAGATGAGAGGCAACAGACAAGCTGGAACACAGAAAATTCCAAGTGGATGCAAGGATAAAAACCCCAAAAAAGCACAGATACTTAAAAAAAACCCCTCAAAACGCATGAGAGGGGCCCTGGGCTACCCAGCGGGGTTGTGGAATTGCTGTCCTTGTAGATGACTCAAGACTGAACTAGACAAGCTCCTGGGTAACCAGATCTGAACAGATCTGTTCTGAACAGGGGCTTGTACTGGACGAGGGCTAGCGGCCCCCTCCAGCCCAGCCTACCTCAGGATTCTGCAAATTCCAGCACTTGCTCTTGAGAACATTCCTTTCTGCCCAGTTATTTGACATGGACACAGTTCTCTCAAGATAAACAAATACTGCCAGCATCAAAAGTGCTTCCCAAAGTCATGTGGGAAAAGTCAGCAATGATCTGGACTCATCAAGAAATGCCAGAAAGCTTTTTTTTTTTTTTCCAGAAGGAAGGGCAGATGACAGCATGGAAGGAAACACCTTGTACACGTCAATATTCACCAGGCCAAACTCGGACTTGCAAGGGAAAGCCTGGAACACACCTAATTGTTGCTGTATTTTTGTACTGACAGCAGATGCTGTGCGCATCTTCAGTCTGATATCAAATACGTTGGTAATGTACACTTGATTACAAATACTGCTCTGGTTTGGATTGTATTATTACAAATACTGGTATGGATGTCTTGAGGATTTGGGTGAACACATAAAACAGTGGTACTGATTTGGAAAAAAAAATCTCAGATTGACTGAGGAAAACAGCAAAATTTCAGGAATTATTTTACTTGTCAAATATTTTCTGAAGTTTTGTGGAAATAACAGTATACCGGTAGCTCCTTTTGCTGTTAAACCTACTTTTGCTAATGTTGCATTTAATGTCTATACTTGCTTACAGCAAAATAAAACTTAATTTCGTTATAATCCTATGTCTGTTTGTACGTCAGCTTTAAAAACTCTACCATTAAAAAACATTAATAGCCTTGTCTTGCCAAAGAAACTTTAAACAACTTTTGTCGCCCTCAACCCAACCTTCTTCACATCCCCCCAGACTCTTGAGCCTAACAGAGATAAATCCTTTTCTACTTGAAAAAAAAAATTACAATTTATTAATAGATTAATTAAACAAAATGGTAAAGGGCTAAATTACTCAGTAGACAGTTTCATTTTTCTAGACTACCTACACTACGGAAAAACCTCTGGAAATTTTCTGAATTGATTTTACATTTTAGTTAATGTTCAATTAAGACCACAAACAGTGAATTCAACTACCAGCAGCCTACATAGTTACAAAAACAAAAGTGTACTTTTGTAGCTAAAAAAAGCAGTCAGAGGCTTTAAAAGATCATTTTGTTGAATTTAGGGAATGTAGGAAGTCAGAGAATCAGAAGCTAACATAACACACTTGCCTCAGGTTCATAACTAAAAGTACCTGTAAAACTCCCTTTTCCCCACTTTCCCATCATCTGTAGGTATTAGCCATCCTCCATCAGCAAGTTGTACCCCATGTCCTGCTAGTAAATACTCCTTACTGAAGAATTCTTCCATGATAAACTGAAAAGACTCTGCATTCATGCTGTTAACTTCTATGCAACTTTTTGAAACACCATATTTGTAAAGCTGTAAAAAAAAAAAAAAAGACAAAATAATCACAATACAGTAAGAATTCAGATAATCGTTTTACATATAGTGCTACAAATTCACACAAAATATCTTGTGAGCTTCACTGAGCTTTTCTCTGACCTTGCCATTTTGAATATAAACCAAGGAGAAAAGAGGAACCCTCAATATTTTTTTTCTGCAGAAGGGCGGCAGCACATGTGCTTTTAAAAAGGATTCCAGAAAGTCAACAGGCTTTGCACCTTGTCTGTGCCAAAAGTGAGAAGTTTTTGCTATTGACTCAGCTGGGGCTTGAAATTTTAACTGGGGAATTATAAAGCTTATCTTAAAACACCTCTTTGTATGGGCTAAAGGTCGCTGGCTGCTATCGCTGGTGGACTTTTTCCTTGCTCTGCTTCTCTCGTTTGACAATTCTGTTACGAAAACACAGATTCCTGTAATTTGGAATATACTTAAAAACTATAGATATACAAAATTCCTAAAGATTTTGTTGGCCTGTTTTGAGGAAGAGACCCTGGAAAGATGCAAAGTATAAAGATATGAACCTACCTGTTCTGCAGAATAAGAACTAGGAAACTTCTCTTCTACTGCAGTTTTCAAAGAGATTCTATTTCTCGCAGAGGTTTTTATGACATAAAGACTGCCTGGTTGTGCACTAATATTTTGTCTATATTTCTTTTTAATTCTCATTTCCTGCAGATCTCTTGCACAGTGGAGACTTGTCACCATCTTGTTCACAACTACAAAAAAAGAAAAAAAACACACAAAAACCTACTTAAAATATTATCAAAGACAGTCATCTAATAAAAGCAAATTCAAAAGATGTATATCTTTCAAGTTTACAGATCTACAGAGTCTGCAACAGTCTAAAATATTCAAAGTTTAAAACATGTTAAAAAGCAGTGTTTACTGCATGTAAAGCAGTGTTTACTGAAGGCATTAAATAAAATAAAATGAACATATGTTCATATAAAATGAACATAAAATGAAACCCCTGAACTAAACACCATATATTTCTCCCCAGACTGAAGTCTATCTTCATGGAAAGCACCAAATGAAAAGAAACAGGTAGATGATGACTAAGTAGTCTGTAATTTTGAGATTCTGACCTGTAAATCGTGAATCTACTTCTGCAAATACTATGCATTACAAACACCACGTTTAAACTGATATCCATGAAGAAATCCAAACTGATATCCTTCTGAAGAAATCCAAATTATCTCATTTGTAACGATTTAATGATTTTTTAATCTGATTTTTATCTGATTTTACACTTACTGGGACATTTCAGACAGACTATAAGTCTGCATACCAATGAAAATGAAAGACCAGAGCATTTAAACACCCAGCTGCTCTGAAAACACCACAGTCAGCCATTTGTAGGGTTAGCTGTGCATCTTAATCAGGAAACAGAATGTATATAAGCTTCTATAAAAGTGACTGAAGTACAGAAAAGATGCTAGAATATTTAAATTATATATAACTAGGTAAATCAAATATCAATTGAAACATAATGATCTTGAGCATTTGCTCCTGAAACAGCATGTGAGAACAAACTCCTTAGGTTGATAATTAACTTGCAAGCTGCATATGCCATATCATGAACATAGTATAAACAATTATTCCATAATATTATGGAAAATACCTGAATTGTCATTTTCTAAGTCAGTGTCTGCTGCTTGTAGGATGTAACTGCTGCCCTCTGATTGGGCTTGGTGAGCTTCAACAGTGTTTTGTTCAACTGTGCTCTGATTTATTTCCCTCTCTTTAGTCCTATTTTTGCTCACCAATGAGTCACATGTGCCGGGGTGGTCTTGTTCATCTGTAGTAAAAGTCAGCTTTGTTCTGAAGGGTGGAGTAAAAGTTTTAACACTTTTGCCAGGTTTGTATAAACTTTTGGGTTCTTCAGTCTCTTCAGCCAAGGCCTTACGTGGAGTAGAAGTCCCTGAGGTACCACTAAACGACTGTCTTAGGGCACAGTGCTGAAAAATGGCAGGTTTGGATTTAAATCCTTTTAAGTCTTGATCTGGTAGAGTAAAGGTAGGAGTCTTGACTTCCTGTCGCTCTTTAGTAGCACTGCAGAGGCACAAACATTTAAGCATACAGGTTCAGCTTCCTGACACACAAATCTTTGTAAAACTGTTGCTGTTCTTAATTTAGTAAAGCAACTTTCAACACCACATCAATAGAAATACAAAATGTCAAAGACTAGAGAAGAATGTTAATTTGCATTTACTGAGGAACAAAACACAGGTGTAAAATTTCTGTTTTTTTCATCTTGGTGGACTACTGTAGCAATTCATGTCACAGGTAATTTGATGTGTTTATTTTGAGTTAAAACTCATTAGTTTTTTAGAAAGTTGGTAGCAAATTAGTATCGCACGTTAAAAAAGGTCAGAAGAAACTGTGAGGTCTTGAGTAACTTCAAAATATATATTACTCACCCAAAAGGTCCACAAGTTACAGGTTTTAAAGGAACATTGTATATAAATTTTCTTCTGTCTTTGAAAATGCCTGTAATTAGAAAAGTTTGAAATGGTGCATTATATGGATGGGTATTTACAGAATGTATCTATATGTTTATAATGCTAATAGGAAAAAGACAAGTTTGCAGAGTAGATTAAAACAGCTCTTTGTCATGCTTTTTTGGAGGAAAAAAAAAAGAAATCTTTGTGTAAAATGTCTTGAATGTTGAAAAAGCCATTTGTTTTTCCTAGCTTATCTTTAATGAACCCCAACAGAAAAATAAATACAGAAAAATACAGCCAGGCACAAAACATTTGACACTTCCAGGGCTAATCTTACTCTTGATATCTAATTTTTTTTTTCAACAGTACTGCTAGGAACCTACTACAGATGGAAAAAGCAACTATTTTTACAATTTTGGAATATTAAAAAACTTTAGTTAGTTAATAACTAGAATTACTAGTTGTTCATGCTTTTCAGACTTAGTGAATGAATCCTGCTACTCAATTCCAGGCAAGTTCCAACAGTGCTTAGAAAGAATAAGTTATATAATACTATATGATAAGGCATCATTGTGATTTCAAGTCAGCAGAGCCATCATCATAGCAGCTTCCTTGATTTTTTTTGACTTTTTTGATAAGAGAAGCAGCTCAGTAATCTTAGTTTATATTATTTTATGGGAAATTGAATAATTCTAAAGCTAACATCTGATGCCAAGTTGCATCTCAGGACACACAAATGCTAAGATTACCATCAGGGGTGCTCTTCGAAGCTTTCAAAGACTTAGTGGGATTCTTTGTTCTATCAAATTCAGGTAGCAATTTTCTCTTAATTGGAGGTTCTCCTAGGATAAAAACACAGATTAAAAAAATGAATTTCCTTTTAAGTTCAGTTTCTTATTCAGTTAACTTGCACAGTACTGAGTTCCTAAATAAAACATTCAAGAAGTCAGAGCAACCAGGAGCAGCAGGTCTTCAGATCACACTTCCAACATGTGTGGAATAATCTTCCAGTTCAGAGATACTTCACCACCACCAACCATAGTGGACTTCAACACCACAACAAACCTCTATCTTCTCCTCTGCTTTCAGTAATCGAGGGGTCCCTATGCAATTCAAACAAATGAATAAATAAAAAAGCCACAAAAAAAACCCAAACACCACACACGAGCACACAGAAACCAATGCAGGCTGCAGTAATACAGTCCCACCTGCCTTCACGCCTACCCAAACTTTCTTGCAGTAGGCCCCCTGCCCTTCGTACCAAAACTTATAGAAAGAAGGAAAGGGAAGAAGGAGGCAAAGAAGGGAAATTAAAACCATCTCCTAAGAGAAGAGGCAACTTTTTTTTTCCCGTACCTTTAAACGACAACTGGAATTTTCACAGAACAGCAAAACCTGCACAGCTTTAGAATCATTAGTAAACAAATTTGGCTTAGACTATACATCTTATACAGGAAAGAGCGAATACAACCCTTGTTTGCAGCAAGAACTTTGTTGTTGACACTAAGAGACAAAAGTTTTTCTGTATGACAAAAAAATCTCTAATTGTGAAGAAAAATAAATTAAAAGAAAGGGCAAAAAACACCCACCAATATGGAAGTATGAAGCTATATAAGACAAAGACCTACCTAGCAAGGCATATCCTTCCAGGTGCCTCTTCCCAACCATCCTATTTGGAAAGCTTTTATCCAGCATTCTGCTGCTGAAGGATCGTGAGGCATTAACTCGTGCTCCAGAATCTGCAAGATCATCTTCCGTAAAAGCTTTGGCACTTTCTACTGCCTCCAAGTGAGTTTTTGGAGGCTGGAAACACGCACGGTTAATATTCAGTTCTGCTTTAGCCACAGAACTGCGTGAAACTGCTTCAGACTTTGGCTCCTTCTCCAGACTGTGCTGCCCTTCTCCTAGAGGTGAAGTCCCCTCTTGCTGAAAACTATTTTTAAACAACATTAGCTGCTCATTTTTCATACTATGTGGAACATACTCAGGCATTTTAACACAGTGAGTGCTTGCAAGAGGCTTCATTTCCTCTGAGTAGATGTTTTCTAATTCAAGTTCTTCATTGAAGCTCTCTTCAACTTTGGGTTCCAAAATCACTTTATCTACGATTTTGGCTGCATCATTGCAATCAGTTACAGATTTTGTAGATTGAGTGCTCTCTTTAGTTGAGCCAAGTTGATTTGTAGTGCAAAGTATATTGCTTACAAAGTCATCAGAATCTTTTAAAATGGCCTTTGCTTTCTGATAGGCATTTTCAGAGACTTTTACGTGCTTTCCACTTGCAGTGCTGAACCCAAAAGCAGGATGTAAAATCAAGTCGGTATTGGAACTTTCTCTCCCTTTTGGCAGTACTAGCCCCGTTTTCTTAGGAACTGCTTCCGTGCTCACTTCAGACTTGTCAACACCTTCCTCAACTGGAAGTATTTCTTGCAGATGTGAGGAACTATTATTGTCCATTTCAGAAAAGAGCTGCCGAGCTTTCCTTAGTGACTCTTCTGATAATTGTACTGGTTTACCACTTGCTGTACTAAAAAATCCAAGATTACTTACAGAAGAAACTGATGGCTTTATGTGCTTGTCTCGCATGGGCAAATGTCCTAAAAGCTTTGCATTCTGTTCACTAAACTGCATCTGAGAATCTGGAACAGACTCTGCATCTGTGAGCATCTTTGTATCACAGTGACCATTTTCACCTGCATTCTCATTTACTTTAGTGAAATGGGAAGCAAATGAATTAGTCTCCTTGTTTTTTGCAGCATTGAAGAGTTCAGCAGAATCAGGACACTGAGCATGAACAATGAAAGATGAATTTGCAGCAACTTCCATCTCATTAGTTTTTGACTTAGTTCCAGGTTTAGATTTTACAGATTTGTCTTCTTGAAATATTTGTCTGACTCTTGCTAAAGCATTTTCTGAAACAGTAACTGCTTTACCTTTGGCTGTACAGATCATAATTGGTTTCAAATCACCCATTTGTTTTTCCAGATTAAAACTATGTGATGTTTCTTCTAATCTGGTCAAATTAGTTTCGTCTTCAAGTCCACCAGCTAGGGACTGTTCTTGGTGGGCAGTAACTGTGGCGTTTGTGAAGCAGTTTGCATCAAGACAAGACTCATTTAGATGTTCCAAGCCAAACTCCTTGCTGTCACAATTCAAATGGGAAGAGCTACTTTTTGAAACACCCTTGTTGTAAGTAAAGAGGAGGGATGGTTTACATTTATTTTTGCTGTCCTCAACAAACATAGCATTTTTTGCATCTTTAAGCACAGAATCATCTGCAAGGTCATTTGATACTTTCATTAAGTGCAGAGAGACAGCTGACTGCACAGGACAACTATGTGTGTTTTCTGAATGGCCACCCTTTTTGTCCAAGTATTCCTCATCTCTGTCAGCAAATAGTTTTTCATCCTCAGACAATGAAGTTCCCCTTAAAGCATCGCTGTCCTTTCCAGGCAAATATTCTGATTGAAACTTCTCAAGTCTAACATCAGCTTCTTTTTGTGCATGTCGAATTCCAGCATTTTTTTCATAATCTTTACCTATATTGACAAATGTGTCTTTTTGAACTGTATCAAGAATAACAGTTTGTTTAAAGGGACTGTGCTCTACTGTCTGCTTAAACTGATCTCCGGTTTCTTTATGAAGAAAGTTTTCACTGAAGTCAAGCGTTTCTGGATCACACTTAGCAGTGCTTTCAATACAAGAATCCCAGTCTTCAACACAGTCTCTACTACACATCCTTTTCTTTGGGGGCTGCTCAAAATTTTCATTCTGCTTCTTTCCTAAAACAACATTTTCTTCTGAAAAAAACTGTTTGGCTTTAGCCAAAAATTCATCAGAAATTGTTATTTTCTTCCCACTGGCAGTATGGAAACCAGCTGGATAAATCCCTTTAACTACATTTTCTTCAGCATCCCTCTCTTGCTGAAAAGGTATCTGATCATGGTAAGAGCCTGTTTTTGCTTTGCTGTGGTTCACACACGGGTTCTCATCAGTGGCAGGGTCTGCTTCTTCCATATTTCTAATACTTGTCTTTTGTTTATCAGAGGTCTCTGAAACACTTGCATCTCTTTCACCACATTTTACCTTGAGCAAGCACACAGAATCAGACAAAGATGCAGCAGAAATGGGTATATCTCCATCAGCTACAGTTTGCAAGCTTTGTGGTAAGTATTTATTTTCTGGATTTCTCTCTTGTCCTTTCTGACTAGGAATTGATTTTTCCATTTCATTAGATACACTGAAACTATGTTTTTCTCCAGTTGCAGTAGCACCTCCTAGACACATCACAGCTAATGAGTCTTCTTGCAAAATGCCTTCAGCTGGGCAATCTCCTTGAGTCAGAAGTTGCTTAGAAGTTTTCAGATGCTGATTGTGATTTTCAATGGCTGTCAGAGTGGTTTCCATATCAGAGGCAGAATACGTAGCATCGTCAGTACAATCAAAATTGACATGTTGGTGGTCATTTCTTGACCTTTTTGTCCATTTTTCTGTATTTTCCCTAAATGGCATTTTCCTAATATTTTCCTCATATTTTTTCTCTGAATGGAGGGAAACAGAACCTGTGAAGGAATCGGGACTTTTAAAGTTTGTAACACAAACTTTCTTTCTGCTGGTTTGGTTTTGGCATCTGAAAAAATTGCAGTCAAAAGATTTATATCCATTTGAACTCTGGCATCTGGTATTAGTTTTAGGAGATTTAAATAAGTAGTTATCATCATCCAAGTCCCTGAACAGCTCTGCAGACCTGGTGAGAGCTGCTTTAGAAATATTTATTCTTTTACCTCCAGCTGAAGTAAAGCCCACAAAATTAGGCACGGGAAAGCTCTGACCATCAGACATGCTGCTTCCATTTCCATCTAAGTGAGTAAAAGTAACTTCATTATTTTTATGGGGAACTATTTTGTTCTCTTTTTCACATTCCATCATATCAGATTCTTCATTAGTGACTTCCTGCTTATTACAATACTTGCTATTTTTAACTTGATTTTCAGATTTAAGAGCATTACAAAAATCAGTATCTTTCCACATTGTAGAAGTATTTTCTACATTTGTTATTCCACCTGTTTCTCCAGTTTCACCCTGCTGAGTAGCATGGCTTTGTAACGTGTTACTTTGCTTTCTAAACTGTGTAAACTCAAATTGGCTGCCAGTCTCCTCCAAGATACTAGAAAGTTCAGCAATTTCAGCCTCTTGGCTTGCTGTCAAAGTTTGACTTGGTTCTTGCAAGAACTGTTGACTTATAGGAAAATTTGTATGTAGATCAACTTTATGTGGAACAAACTGTATATGACTTGGTTCAAGAAAACTTGCCCGTGAACCTAAAGAATCAGATAAGTTACTGTCCAATTTGCTTTCCACAGGTGAGAAAACCGCATTTTCCTCTTTAACTTGATCTGAAGTATTTCTGACTCTTGCCATGGAAGGGGCTTCAAAGCATTCATTCTCAATCTCTCTGAACAATATTTTGCCTTTTGCTAAACTCTCTTCAGAGAATTTAATCTGCTTATTGGATGCAGTTTGAAAGCCACCAAATCTCAGATTTAAATTGCATTCATTCAGATTTCTCAACCATCTCTCTTTATGTTCTAGGTTTTCATCTGGATTTTTGTTGAAATTTACAGGTTTTACTGAATATATATCTTTGCAAGATGCAATAATTTTAGAAGGAATTATATTTGTCTCCTTTAAGCGATGTTTAGCTTCAGTGTTAGGTTCTGGCACTTTCTTTGACAGATGAAGTCTTACTTTTTGAGACACATCTTGTTCAGAGAGATCTGCCTGTTGATCGTTTGTAGAAATTGCTCCATTTAAAGAATTATCAACTGTGCAACCCAAGAATTCTTTAGCGCTCTCTACATCCATACTATTGCAAGCAGTTGCTTGAAGGTTGCTTTCCTCATTTTCCATTGACCTTATATCTTCACTGGCAGCTATAATTTCTGAAAAGGAAGCTACATCTATTTTTTCCCCTTGTTTTAACTCAGTATTACACTTTTCGGAGCCTTTTAATCCCAAAGGTGCAGGTATTTCTCTATACTCAGCTGTTGACAACTGGTCTGTGGCAGGTTTTTTTTCAGATGACATTTTATTACAACAATTACTACTGACCTTATTTATGTCCAAGTTGATTTGACTTGAGGTATTATTGAAACTACAGTTTGTCATGGGTGTTGTGTCATGCTTCACATCAACCAAGCATTCATTATTGTGAAGAGAAGACTCTGCAAGCTGCCCTTCAAGGCTCTGAGGCACAACAGCTCCATCACTCACCTTAATACTCCTAAGCATATCCTCCTTGCCTTTCTCTAAGCCACGGCCTTTAGGCAGGAGCCTAGGGTGCTTTCTTGCCATGAGACGTGCTGAAGTTAGAACTTTACGTTTTATATTTGAAATACTTTCACTATTTGAAGACTCTGTCATGTTTTCTTTCAAAGTATTAGATATTTCTAAGCATTTTAGTGATGTAACAGGCTGATGCTCTCTTGCATTTCCCTCCTTCTCTTTCAGTTCCTGTTGCTTCTGTCTGTTGTTGGAGGTGTTAGCAAATGAGTTATCCATTACACCCATTTTTACAGTACAAGTGCTGAAATTATTTTCCCTGATATTTGATTGAAAATGCCTTCTCTCAGGAGAAACCAAGGAGCCTACAAAAAAAAAAAGACATTACAGAACAAACATGTTAAAGTGGCTATCATTTATTAAAAAAAAGGCAAATTAGAATTTTTATAAAATTGACTCATTCACAAGATACACATGCTTAACACTGCTACCATAAATACTGCTTTTGCTTCCAAATGCGAAAGTCTTGACAAGGTTGAAGCTTTGTCTGATCTAATCTTGTTCTAATAGTCAGAAGTGAGTAACCTACAGTTAATGTCATCACTTAAAGTAATTGATTTGTAGTTGTAATCTAATTTGAAGACAGATTTCCTTTCCTTGTGTCTCAACAGAGGTTATGCTTTAAAGAGAAACATTTCAATTCCTCATATTAAGTAACTATTCTTCAAGAACAATAGCTTTTAAAAACAAGAGCATGTGCTTGCTTATATATATGTATGTATATACCCACACATATATATAAATTATATAATTATATATAATTTATATTATATAATTTTTAAAACATATCTTGTACTACTGGAAGGAACAAATCTACACACATACACCTTCTAACTTCTGAAAAACAGCCAAAGAATGGTAACATTTTTACGCTGTCTTAAAAATCACCCACAAAAGCAGGGGGACACTTGACACTCTTCTTGTCTAAACAGCAAGGGTGAAGATAACTGAGCTTATCAATTAAAATAATGGTTCACGGTGCCAGTTGCTGCTCCAGAAGCTAGTTTGAGACTAAGTTACCACCAGACTACTTGAGGATACAAATGCTATTCTGTCACTGTTTCCAGCCTAGTTAATTGCAGAGCTACTTTATCACTTATGAGTAAATGCAGAATTCCCCACCAACAAAAAATGCTTAATGCTGTACCTTGATCATCCCCTCTGGCCACGTGACAACTTGTGAATTCACAAGAATCAAATTCCGAGGATGGCAATGTGTTAATAGGTGATTCAGAGGTTAGTTCTCTCTGAATTTTTTCTTCTTGATACAGTAAAGTGTTATTTATTGTATAAATAAATCTCTTGGATCTTTTTTTCAAGCTGGATAACATATTCAGCCTTTTAAAGTCAGATTCTGTAAAAGTATTTTCACTATTTGTTAAATGTAGGTCGCTGCAATTATCTGGAGCTCTAGGGCTACATACAAGTGGATGAGACAGAACATCAGTTATGACAGATTTAGAAGTTGCTTTTAAATGCCTGGAAAAGCTACTGTTGTAGACTACAGCATACTCTGTGACATTTGTACTTTCAATTAAAATAGAATTATAGTCTATAAAGCTCACTTTGGAAACCTTTTCAGCAGCAAATCCTTTTATTAACTTTGAATCTTGAATACTCATAGACACAGATTTTACTGGAGGTATTTCCAGTGTTGGGTTGTTCTCAGAATTTTTCACTTCATAGTGCTTTTCTGACAAATTGACACTCAACAGCTCTTGTGCTTTTAACAGACTTGAAGTATTGGAAAAAGATGTTTCTACAGCTTCCTCTTTGGTCATTAATACCGATTTCTCTTCTAAATTTTTCTCTCTGCTTAAGTCAGATGACGGAGAGCTACATATAGACATTTCCAAGTGAGTTACATCCAGACCAGATAAGTTCAGCTGAGACCACTGACTGGGTGAAGATGACAGGTCTTCTCTCACAAGCTTCTTGTTCTCAGGTGACTTCTGTATTCTGTTATCTTGCACATCTGTTGTGATCTTAAATGTCTTCAATGCCTTTTCATGTCCTATTAAACAGGCATGTTTAACACACCTCCTATCTTCATCTGTTTCCTGAAATAAAGAATCCTTCATTTCAGAGTGCTTTTCCTCAGTCCAGCTAGTTGTTACCACTTCCTGTGAACTGCCAGTCTGCTTTCTAATGTGCTGTTCGGAAGAAACGCCCAGCTCTCCATGTGCTTTCTCTGTGGTTATTTCATGTCTCTCTGCTGCATCCAGGACATTTGGCACACGCAGGAGGCTTCCACTGGCTCTGGCAGGCTCGCCGAGCGCATCCTCAAAACTCTCCATGTCGCTAAAGGAGCCACCTAGCGTCTTCTCGGACTCTGGAAGGGCCAGGGAGAGGAAACAGAATAAAGATCAAGTTATTTCCTATAACTTGAGAAACAGCATTGTGTTTTTTTACCTTACAATCCAAAGCAGTATTTACCTCTACTCAGGAGCGAGATAAATGTATGCCCCTTTAAAGGAAGCTATTCTCCAACAGGTGCTGTTAGAGATTGGAGACGGCAAATGAGAGACGTGCAGATGCCCTTGGCCTCCTGAGGACTGTAGTGGCTAAGCAGGTGTCCAAGATGAAACTTAACTTTTGAAAACAAAATTTGCTTTTTTCTCTCAAGACAATACATTTAGTAGCAAGCTTTACTAGGGAAGTGTTTTTTCCTCTGAAATTTATAGCAGATTGTGGGGTGCCTAATTTCATCTGAAGTTGGCAGTTAGAGGAAAAATTATTTAAGAATGATTCTACTAAGCTCTGTCTTTTCTTTTGGTGTACAATATTAAAGTATTTAGAGGGATTTTTTTTTTAATTGCTTGGTCAGCTTTCACAGGTACCAAATGATGGGCAGAGATATTAGAAAAATGATAATAAGGATATTCTGTTTGTGTACAGAAATAGGCAGTGTATTAAAAGTGCATTCCTATAAAGTAAATTCTGTGTCCACATCCTTTCACCCTGAAATCATCTGTCAACAAAACTGTCTTTCTCTTAAACTGTATCTTTGATAACTTAGATGCTATCAAAAGGGGAAGATGTAGCCGCTTACAAACATTATTGTCAACTTGGAAAGGCATAATTTCTGCCACTTCTTTTTACTAGAGAATTTTTAACTAGACTTTTCTATACATTATGGGCTGTGATGAAGTATTTTGCAAAATGGCACCAGGCATCAATTTGCCCTTCCCTTCTAGAACTATTACACTGGCCATAAACTATTGGGGTTTAGCACCAATTTCTCTTTCATCCTTCATGGTTGAAGCTAAAATACAAACACAGTAGCACACATCCCTCTGCAAGCAGTGATGTTTCCTGATCCTGGTACTCTTAGCTTTCCTGGTCAACTCCTGAACTCATTCTTTTGAAATCTTTAAATTTACTGACATTTTAGAGCAGTCCATTTAGGGAGATGTAAAGTCCCAACTATCCCACGTGTATCTCTACAACAACCATGTATCCTCAATAAAGTTCTCTGTTAATAGCCTTCCTTTCTGTCATTGTCTCTCAGCAAAAACGCAAAAGCCACACTCAAGTGCATGTTTATTCTTCTTCACTAACAAGTTCCAAGAACATACTTTGAAAACAATTTTTGCTGGCCAAGTATTTTTTTGATTCCTTTTTCCTAAAGGATTTTTCCTACTACCAAAAGTGGAACAAATGAAAAAAATAAAGCATGACTAAAAAGCAAGCATACCACATGACTGTTAGGGTGAAATTATACGATAAAGATAAACCAATCCAAGAGTCAAAAATAGTGGCCTTGCTCCCCCTTCAGCCTAGACCTTTTTTTCCCCCCTCTAAGCTCTCACTTCCAGACACTATCGTTCCCCTTCCCTTACATCAGTACCAATGTGGTTATCCAGCACCATGTTAATGCAGTTTGTTGACTCATCCCAATTTTAATGTCAAAATTACTTTTACAAGTAGAATCAATTTAGGAATGGGAGTACAGGATTGGTAGAGAAAAACTGTAAGATAGCTAAAATCATATAACACAGCTTCATTCTCAGTCTCGCTTCACAAAATGCCCAGTAACAGTAGAAAAGCATCAATACTTACCCAAATCTTCATGATCTAGTTTTATTGCCTCTAGTACAGACTGTACACTTGTATCAGTCGTCCCAAGACATTTATCAGGTTTGGAGAAAAAAACATGTGAAACCTATAAAACCAGGCATCAAGCTGTTACATACACAGTATGGGTCACCTTAACATTAAAGCATATAACTCTAGATATTTACTGTAATATGAGTAATTCTGCATTTCTTAAAATGTAGTATATTTTTCAGGGAAATTGATTATCTTCAAAATAACTTCACAATTCTGTGACCCATTCAACGGCAGTGAATGAGTTCAGTAGTTTGTTATTATAATTACCGTAGTAAGTATATTATGCTATATATGATTATAGTATGTTATGCTATATAATTTATATATGCTATGCTATATATATAGCATAGCATGCTACGCTATATTATGATTAAATATACTATATAAGTATACTATACTTATAAGTAAGCCCTTCAAAAAAAAGGGAACTAAAAGAAGGAGAAATTTGTTTTAACTTGCAACGGTTGGTTTGTTAGCTGTGAAGTTTCAGATAGTAAGAATGAAATGTAAATCTCTAACTGAATCACATTAGCACTGCCCTTGTTTTTCAGCCTCAATAATCATTAAGGGCTCACATATACAGAGTAAAACTACTGTTGTGCTGGACATCTCTCTTCCCTAATGATACACATATAAAAGAACCAAAATTAATACTCAATTTTAACTCTTCGAGCAGTGGTTAAACACAAGTGCTTTTATGACAGTAAGGCAAACAACAACTCTCAACTTGAACAAAAGGTGGGGAAAACCCAGGAATCAACAATCCTTCAGCAAAGCAGCATATTGCGGTTCCTACGGTTGATTTCTCTTTGAACGACCCACATTGCAGGTGAATCCAAGTTAAAAAGGAAAAAACATTCTCAAAGGGGTTATGTCTGTGAAAGCAGAGGTTACAGCCAGGCTTTGCAAGCTTAGGTCTGGGAGAAGAATTTTTTAAAAATAGCAAGAAAAGAGACCCTAGAATGAAAGTGACAGATTTTTAAATTATTTTTAGCTTAAGGAATTTGAGTATGTAACTAAACAGCTTAATTATAATTACAGAATAACATAGCTCTTAAATTTACTTACCCTCTCAGCTCTGTCATCTTGTTGCTTTCCTTCAGAAATAGAATCATTCTCTCTTGCTTTAGGAGAAAGATAGACAAGTCAATTCATTTGTTCATAGGTGACCGGTTGCATGTATTCAAACACAGTTGCGATTCGGCCAAGTTTTTTCTTTTGATTATTTTAAATGCCACTGTAATCCATAAACTAACAAAATAGCCCCCTTAAGGCTAACTTCAAATTTAGCTTTAAAAAAAAAAAAAAAAAAGGCTTAAAGGTGAGATTATCTGCTAAGAGATAGCATACACAGGCAGTTCTTTAACAGCATAACACATTGATCGCAGCATGGGGCTGCTGCCGTGGAGGTGCAGCAGTTATCACCATTTCCAGCAGTTGTTCATGGCACTGCTCCCCTAATTTTCTTCTGTCACATGATCTGGATAAATTCTTCAAGCCACTGATAAGAATTTGATTATTCACTGGCTTCCCCCCTCTTAACACCAGTTAAATGCTTCATCTATATTACAAAAGGAGTGCAAATCCTATTTTTAAGATTGCTTAAGAATAGTATCTTGAAATACCACATTTCCTTAATAGGGCATGTGGATTCCTGTATGGTGTTAAGATTAGTAACTTGAACCCCTCTGCTGAAGCAGCCAAACAGCTTTCTCTTTTTGACTCTTTCCTTTTGCAGGTGACTGATGACACAAAATGGGCATCACGTCTGTAAAATACTACACTCATCTAGAAAGTGAGAGAATGAGAAAGAAGGTTTGAACCAGACCTCATCTCCCAAGAGTCTCTCTAAGCTAGGGGTAGTTGCCTTCCTTTCCCTTTTCAAGTCACATCATTCCAAAGCCATGAACAAGCAAAATAGCACAATTCATTAGCCCTGTGAATGGCTCAATTCAGTAGCCCATCCCTGCTGAGAATTTTTTCCTTTTAGGGCAACACTGTATAAAGTCACCTACTGAGCACTGCTGAGAGTTATGTCTTTTTGTCAAGAAAATGCAAACATATCTCTTCTTGTAAGGCCAAAACCAGAAGTGTTTCCAACCCTCAGCAACTATTCATTTTTAGAGCTACCTATTATCACTGTTTCACCCAGTGTTGGAGGTGTGGCCAAAGAACTCGACCAGGACATATCGGGATCCACTTCTGCTCCCAGACTTTCAGAAATACGGTTTGGAGTTCGGACCTGGAAATATATTTAACAACTATTTCTACACAAAATTCTATACATAGTACTAAGAAAAAAGAAAATTAAACATAGAAATATATATTCACCCCCAAAAGTTTTGGTGTGCAAAACAAGCTTCCATATGGTCCTAAAAAAAATAAAAAATAAAAACATGTAATTTATACTCACAGATATAATATCTTTGCAAATATTTTGTAAAAATAAACAATGAGAATACCCACCTGGAATACTACTTCTCTGGGGAGTCCTGTAAGTGTTCCTTAAAATAGCTGGACTGCAAAACAAAGTAAAAAAAAAATTATGTCTCAAATTTGAAAATTAGAACAGTAAATCCAGATATTATGTACAATAAATTACACCACTTCTTTTATTTAGTTGTTCTTTTCTTTAACAACTTTTACCCTGGAAGATCAAATGTAAACTGCAATGCCTGCATTGGATGTTGAGAATTTGAGAAAATGAAATAAATAATGTTAACTCTCTTATCCCGGCTGTTACAAAAGCGTAAAAACTAAAAAGGAAGAATAACTAAGAAGTGGGAAATTAAAAAAATATATATTTTATTTTCAACTTGTTTGTCAACACGTAAGTATAATAAACATATATATGCAAGAATATCCACTGCTCTGCAAAATTCTACCAGTCAAATCAGTGGTTTATAAAACTGCTTTTCGTTTAAAATGCAATTTAATTTGTTTTGACATATTTTACATACCTAGCAACATGACAGGTACCAACAGGAGAAGCAAATATTTCATTTCCTTGATCTATTTTTGTTCTTATGATTCTTGGACTGATCAAACTCTCTTTGGCTGGAAAGGAGAACATAATGATCAGCAACACTTTGCAGAACTACATGTAACAGGTTTAAAGCTTTAAAAAAATAGGCAAGGTACAACTTTCCTTCATCTATTTTTGTTCTTATGATTCTTGGACTGATCAAACTCTCTTTGGCTGGAAAGGAGAATACAATGATCAGCAACACCTTGCAGAACTACATGTAACAGGTTTAAAGCTTTAAAAAAAATAGGCAAGGTACAACTTTTTGTACCAAAACTTATCTAGTGTTACCTTCTACTCTAGTGTTTTGAACATGTTCAAATTCTATATTAAAACAATGCTAAACACATTTTAGATACATGGCAAAAATAAATAACTTCTCTGACACCTTTTTCTTTGGTTAAATATCTGTTTCAGTATATTTCCTAAGTATTATTCAAGCAGTATATATCCATTTTAATGTTGGCATTCTGTGTTGTGCATTTCTTGTTATTGAATAAGTTATTTTTAGGAGAAACTCAAAACATGAAAACATACATTTATACCGGCTTTCCCTCAACCTTACTTAAGTCATACACTGCTTATACAAATGAACAGCATAAAGTAAATAAATTTTCTGGAGCTATTGCTAAAATATTTTTTTTCTGGAATCTTTTGTATGCTGTGCACCCCTAGGTAAAGGGAAAAGCATTCTGATCAAAGAATCCATAAAGGATTCATACCAAAGATATGGATTTGACCATAAACTGCTCACATGAACAAGCACCGACTCAAACAATTTCTACTCAAAAGCAATATAATAAGTATAGAAACTTCCATAATAGTCACCTTTTGCTAATCATTAGGATACATAAACAAGCACACATATGCACACATAGAGAGCAAGAGTAACCATTTCAAAACATAAAAAGTTTCTATTTAAATTTCCTTTGTTGACATCCTAATGAAATGAGAATTGAACAGGGACTTAACACTGTAAAAGTCTAAGTAGGTACAGATGGAAGAATCATTTCCAGCTATGTGCAAGCTGAGCAGAAGCCTAGCAAGAAAGTCAGGAAAATTAACAGGATAACAACAATTTATTGAAACAATGTTATAAGGTGTATGTGAACAGTAGCACTAGTCGACACCTTCAAGGCCTTCATTTCAGCATCTAAGAACAAGTCCTATAACTAGGAGACTCTTAGGTTTGTCTGTGACAAACAAGCTATTTAGAAAAGCTCACCTCGTTGCGAAGGAGGACACACACAAAATAGATGTACAAAACATATTGAAGGAATGGAGCTAAAAATTCTTTGGCGGAGAAAATTCTTACAAGTTATTTGTCCAAGAAGGATGGGTACTACCACAAACTGCAGGGATGTCAAAAAGGAGCCAAGAGTGACAGGCACTTTCATGATGTACTTGGGAGTTGGAAACAGCAACAGGAGAAGTGCCCCTTAGAAGTGCCAGAGCTCTTTCTCTTCCCGCGGAAGATGTGAATCCTTTCCACCAATTACAGTTTTACTAACTCTAAGTGCTAAGGTTCCTCCAAGTCTTTCCAAGCAAAACTGAAGAGCGCTCTCCCTGCAGACTGCCTGGTATTTCAGTGTGATAAGCATCATATTCTCTCTCGGAAAGATTTAGAGTTAGTTCACAAATTAGATTTAGAACAGAAAAAAAACACAATCAGACATAAAATTCATCTTGGTTCTCAGTTACCAATTTACACTAACAAGCTTATATCTTCCTTATATTTACACTATTTAGAGCATTTAGGACTTGTATCACTTTACAAAGTCATCAGCTACAAAAATAAAATGTAAAACAAAACAAAAACAAAAGCAACTCTCCCGGAACTCACAAGCAGCCTTTAAACAAACTCATTTTAGAAGTTACTCACTTGTATTCTGATCCAGTTCTTTTCCAGGAGAAAGTAAAGGAGAAGGTGGCAATATTGTACTTTGCTCTTTAAAAATTAGTGGAGTTGAAGCCAGCTGGCTGTATGTAGAGGGCTTTGTCCTTGGACTTTTAAAAGAAGCTTCATCAAGCCATTCAGCATGACCATGAAGTTCTCCTAGTAATTTGGGCTCATAAGGGGGAGCTTCTGAGCTGAGTTCTTCAAACCAGTTCAGACTTATAGGTCCTAAATCTATAAAGAAAAATATACACAACATCATATAAATAAATAACAAGTTACCTGCCAAATGGCATGCAAACTACAAACAATAAGAAGTACAAATTTAGATGTCATCAAAACAGTACCTAAAGTAGGAATATTCCATCTATGCAGTGACATAGAACACATCATAAGGATACATCATAACTAGTTGTTAATTACAGCAAAACTAATGCAAGCCTACACAGAGCATAATGCCAGAATTTTATAACTATGTTTCTGGGAGGATACCAACTCTGATGTCAACAAGGTATAAGAGAAGGTCTGCCATAATTCTACAACTACTAATGAAACTGCCAAAGGGCAAGCAATTTTACACAAACTGCATATTTGAAGTAAATTGGCATTTAGGTTACATCTTACTTTACTCAAAACTGGCAAATTACACACATTCCTTGCAGCAGTGGTAAATCACACAACTACAGCTGCCATTTGACTAAATCTGGACTGTACAGAGGTATATATATATAAAAAAAAAACACAGCTAGAGCAAGTACATGGAAGCACCTGAGAATACCTTATGAAAAACAATCTACAAATAAAAATTAAATCAAATATATTAAAAAGTAGATAACAGCAAATAAAGATTTTAGGCAAGGGGAACAGCCAACAAGTTGAGTAATGCTCTTCTATACAACATAAAGTTCACTGCAAATACTTACAAAATATCAACATCCTTAAAGCAACTCTAATAAGTTATTTACTTTAAGCAGACTGTACCTGCTTCACTGCACTGAGCTTTAAATATTTCAAAGAAAGATGGTTGGTAAGCCATTTTCTTATCCATATAATTACTGGAAAGCTTGTTGCAAAACCTGGAAAAAAAAAAAACAGGAAAACACTTTAACCCGGTACTAACCTAATGGCACTGCTGACCTGGAATACAAGTCTTAACCCCACTTTACTGCATCGCTTGGTGTGGGGGGGTCACACACAGACTTGTTCACTTCAGGACCATGATGTTTATGCATTCATTCAGAACAGCGGATAAATTATGGAAGTGACAAGAAAAAAAAGAGAGAGAGGGGATTTTACTGGATAAAACAGAAGAACTGAGCAAATACAGAAGAAAACCCAGATGGAAGGACATTAAAATTTCAAGATATTTTACATACACTCGCACTACTATAGGTGAGGCTAGAATATGTATCATTACACCTAGGCTCCCACAAACATGCATCAAAACTTTTGTTCAAAGTCATCTTCAGGTTGAGTAGAATTTGCCAGATGCATATATATATACATAAATATATATATATGAACTATTGGCAAGTTTGTCATAAAGTTTTTGCTTGCTTGTTTACTTTATTTGAACATCTCTTCCTCACGCCGCATTTTCCTGTTTTCACTGGACAACCAGTGTCTCCGGTGGCGGCTGCCATGAACAGGCCTCTCTAACCAAAGCAGAGGGAAAAGCATGCTTTCAAAAGCGGGTAAACAGTGCCATAAAAAAAAGAAAAAAGTGAAAAAATAAAAACAAAAGAAAAATAAAGTAAAATAAATAAAAAATTACTTCACAAGCGCACACTACAAGGAAAGCCGGCTCTCCGCACGTGTGCGGGGGAGGGTCCGCCCCGGCCCCCTCGGGCCCCCGCAGCCTCCTCGCTGCGGGCGGCCGCGCGCCCCGCGCCCGGGACGCCCGGAGGG